ATCCAGCTGCGTTTCTAAGACGGAACTAGAACTCTTTGTCTCCTGGTGATTGGCCCAAAGTCATCCAACTGGTTTTCATATCAAAGAGGGAACTAGAACTCATTGTCTCCTGGTGATTGGCCCAAAGTCATCCAGCTGGCTTTCATCTCCAAGGTGGAACTAGAACTCGCGTCTCCTGGTTTCTAGCCAGTTTCTCACTTTGAAAACAAGGGCCAGATCCAAGCATCATGAAGAATTCCTATCCCAAAGAAGGCAGGTAAAATTTAGCTTCCCAGCTACATCCAGTCTCTATTCTTGAATTATTATTTATTTGATTCTTTGCAAATTCGTTCACCAGAAGAGCAAAATACTGAAGAGAAAAACCAGGATTGAGCATTAATATTAATTCAAATGGAAACTACTACTTGCAGAATTCAGATTTTCGTGCGCAGAGAAAGGAAAGGCGCAGCCACTTCAATCAGCTTCCCTAAATTTCATATCTACGATTTCCCATTCATCCCTGCCAAAGCCCATGCTGGCAGGAGATGATGGGTCTGTGTATATAGACAACGGAGGGCACAGCTTCCAGATCCCAGAGGTGAACCCCCCGCCCCCCGATGATTATTAAAAGCCAAGGAAATGATTTTTGTTTTTTAATCCGGAGTTTTTGCAAGCCAGATCTGATAGAATTGAGCGGCGGGCGCCCGGTTGGAGAAGGCGAGCTAACTCAACGCTGACTATGGAGAAAGTGTCCGTCAGCGCCCCCTTTGGATTGCTGGAGGGAAATATCCCAGGCGCTGACCAATCAGGATGCTTCAAAAAAAAAACCCGCTCAGAGTCAGTTTCCTCCCCCACCCTCACTTTCACCGGCTCCGACCCGCCTTGCGCTTCTCGTTTGCCCATTGGCGGCTTCCACTCAGCGGCCCCGCCCCTCGCGCTCAGGACCAATCCCTCCCGCCAGCCTTTCGGTAGAATTCTCGGCGCGCGAGGCGGAGGGTCTGAGTCGGTCCTCGGCGTGGGCGGGGCGGATGCGTCGAGCGCGTGGGATTAAAAAAAAAAAGGGCGGGTAGAGTAGCCACTCCCTCCCGTGACGTCACAGGTTGGCTTGCCGGGGCTTTGCAAGGAAGAGGGGGTGTCTTTAGGGTGAGAAATTGCGGGGTGCCCGTGGGGAGGGGGGAATTTAATCCCCATCACTTTCGCTCCCCTCCCCTTATTTCTTGGCTTTGCAATTGCTTTGTAGATCGGAGATGGGGGAGGCAGCCGCGGAGCTGGGGGCAGGAAAGCTTTATCGGTTGCATATCCTGCCTGCTATTGGGCAGGTTATAGCAAGGACCACCGAGGGGTGGGCTTTTGGAAGGGTGGGATCGGAGAGGATGCAGGTTGTTGTGAGGGGGGGCCCTTGGCAGCGACTTTCCTTGGGGGCAGGGGAAAAAAAAATCAGAATAAAGCCCCGCCCTGCCCTACACAGGGAGTTGGATTAGATGATCTCTGGTGCCCCTTTGCAGCCCTGGGATTCTCTCTAGCAAGCTTTCGTGCCTATGGTGGAACTAGAATTCACCATTTTGTGGTGTTCGGCCCAGAGTCATCCAGCTGGCTTTCATGCCTAAGGGGAAACTAGAATTCACCATCCTGATGTTCAGCACAGAGTCACCAGCAAGCTTTCCTGCCTTAGGTGGGACAAGAACTCACCATTACCTGTTGATATTCCCAAAGTCACCCAGCCGCCATTCATGCCTAAAGTGGGACTAGAACTCACAGTCACCTGGTGGTTGTCCCAATGTCACCCAGCCAGTTTTCATGGTTAAAGCCAGATTTGAACTCATGATCTCCCGCTTTCTAGCCTGGCGCCTTAAACTAGCCATGTTCTGTGCGAAAGGAGAGAATTTAGGCTCAGTTCATACTGAGGGAAACATCCACCCTAAAACTTGGTATCAACCCTATAAATAGCAAGTGTCAGGTTCCGCCTCCTCTCCAACCGGTAGCTCTTTCCCATGGGCACGAGTTCGAATCCTAATCATCCCTTCCCCTGTTCAAAAGCTTACCAGCCAATTAATCTGGAGGACACCAGGTTGAATTTTTTAAAAAATAAAATAAATCCTGATCTAACCATTGCATGCTTCTACACATCTCTGCTGCCGAAAGGAATTCGCCGGATTTATTTCCCAGTCATATCCCACCCTCTCATGGCTTCTTCCGATTTTATTTCCTTTTTTTTTTTTCTTGGCAGTTTCCCTGAGGAAACGGGAAGGAATGGGGGATTCGAAAGGTAATATCCTATAACAATGTCATCATCACCATGGATTTCTGGGAATTTTTTTTTAAAAAGGGTGGTAATTCGCTTTCTCTCTCCCCCCCCGCCCCCGTTTTTCTTTCCGCAGATTGTACAAGCCAGCTGCCTTTTTTCTCGTTGATAGGCGATGATCTCTCTGCTAATCCTGGCTTAGCTAACTTCCTTATGCATCTGATAAATCATATGGATTCTTCAGGGATGAGCATCGCTTTGGCCCAACCATTGGAAGAGGTGGGAAGAGAGAGGGCAGGTGGGGGGAGGATGGGGGCAAGGAAGTGGATAATACCTGGCATACGGGTAGCCTTTAACAGATTTAACGGAGTTGGAAGGGACCTTGTAGGTTATCTAGTCCAACCCCCAGGCCAAACAGGAGATCCTACACTATTTCTGACAGGTGGCAGTCCAGTTTCTCTTCTTGAAAGCCTCCAGTGATGAAGTTCCCATGATCCCTTGTGGGGTGGAGTCTGGGCAACTGAATGGAGCTGAGTGTTTACTGGCTGGATGCCCTTCCTGTTGCCGATGAGGAGTTATATTCAGTAGATATTAACAGATGAACAGAGTTGGAAGGGACCCTGTAGGTCATTAGTCCACCCCCTCTGCCCAAGCAAGGAGACCCTACACCCTTCCAGACAGATACAGATTAATTGACTTGGAAAGGAGCTTGTAGGCCATCTAGTCCAAACCTGCGCCCAAATAGGAGACCCTACACCATTTCTGAGAGACGGCAGTCCAGTCTCTTCTTGAAAGCTCCCAGTACTTCTGAAGGCAGCCTTCCTCACCTTGCGACCACAATCGAGCCCCAAATTGATGTTGCTAAGTGAGAAATTTGTTAAGTGAGTTTTGCCCTGTTGTACGGCTTCCCTTGCCATGTTTGTTAAGTGAATCGCGGCCATTGTTCAATTACTTATGCCGTTGTTCAGTGGATCGGGCTTCCCCGTTGACTTTTCTTGTCATAAGGTCACAAAAGGGGGATCACATGTCCCCGAGATGCCACAACCATCATAAATATGAACCAGTGGACAAGCACCTGAATTTTGATCACCTGACCCTGGGGAATGCTGCAGTGGTCACAAGTGTGAAACACGGTCGTGAGTTGCTTTTTTCAGTGCCGTTGTAACTTTAAACAGTCGCTAAATGAACTATGATAAGTAGAAGGCCAGCCATAGATTTATGCTGTGAGTTTTGCCCCCTTTCACAACTTTCTCGTCGGGTCGCATAAGGGGATCACGTGACCCCTTATGTGACCGTCATAAAGATGAGTCAGTTACCCAGCATCCGAGTGTAAATCATGTGACTGGGAATGCTACAACGGTCATATAAGCGTGAAAAGTGGCCTTAAATCACTTTCAGTGTTGTCGTAACTGCGAACAGTCATTAAATGAACCATCGTAAGTGAAGGACTGCCTGAATTCTAGAAAAATCCCATTTTTCCTTGTTTGGGGTTGGGTGTTGCAAAAATTAGGATCTAAATCAATGTTTTTTAATTTCAGCTACTTGAAGATGGGTGGACTTCAACTCCCAGAATTCCCCAGCCAGCCTAGCTGGCTGGGGAATTCTGGGACTTGAAGTCCATCCCTCTTCAATGATCAAGGTTGAAATGCATGAGGTAAAACTTAAGGAAGGTGCTAAGGGAGGAATATGTTGCATTGCAGATCATCTTAAGGAAGAATGAGCAAATGGATCCTATTCCCCCCTCAGGGTGTGAGAAACCCAGTCGATCATCTCTGCAGTGCGGAGAGATATAAAATAAACACCACAAAGAAAAAAATATTTACCAATTCGAGTTCTCTTGAGGCAGACATACGTTTCATGTATTACGGCGCTTGACATACATACAGCAGCTACCCAACCACAAGAAGACAGCGGAAATAATAAGGGGAAACCTTTTTAGAAATAATAAGGAGAAACCTTAACATTAATTAGTTCCTAAGGGCGCACAGAAAATCTGCGTTTTGTCCAGTTCGGTTCAAAGATCTGTTAGGTTATGTGAATCGGATTCTTTCTGGGTTAAATATACATACATACAGGGACCCAGGATATTCAGCAGGGCTGAAATAAAGTTAACTGGAGGTTAATTCTCCCTGCTAGCACTCAAAAAAAAAAGTATTGGGAAAATATGGTCATGTGTTTTGGTGTCTTCTTGCAAAATGATCTCTGTTCAGTGCCTTAAACTGAATAGTCTCAGCTTCTATACATTGTCTGCCTGTTTGGCTGGCCTGCCTCTCCCTCTCTCCTTCCCACTCTCTTTCTCTCTCTCCCTCTCCCTCCATCCCTCCCTTCCTCTCCCTCCCTCTCTCCCTTCTCCCTCCCCCTCTCTCCCTCTCCCTTCCCCCTTTCCCTCCCACCCTCTTTCTCCCTCTCCCTCCATCCCTCTATCCCTCCCTCCCTCCCTCTCCCCTCCTCTCTCCCTCTCCTTCTCTCCATCCCACCCTCTTCCTCTCTCTCTCCCTCTCCCCTCCTCTCTTCCTCTCCCTCCATCCCTC